ACACGTGTGTGTGTGTGTGTGTGTGTGTGTGTGTGTGTGTGTGTGTGTGTGTGTGTGTGTGTGTGTGTGTGTGTGTGTGATATGTAATCAAAGAAACTCAGTAGCATCAACATGGACCTAGACGGTCATATAATCGCCTAGACATGGACGGACTGCTTGACAGCGTTGGAAACAAAGCCCAACAAACAATCTAATAACAGTTTAGAGAATCTAGAATGTCATTGACAGTATTGTTGCTCTAGCAACGTTGACGTACATAAAAAAGAGAAACAGACTGGTGACTGCAAAAGGGTAAATGTTGATAGAATGTGAGACCCATTACGTTATTGTGTCGTCTACCATCACCATCTCCTTAAGCGCCACCACTCTCACCAGCATCATCAACACCACCAACACCACTAACACTACCACCGCTACCACCAAAAGCATCACCACCAAAAGCACCACCACCAACACCACCACCGCTATCACCACCACTTCTCTCACAAGCACCACCAAAACCAGTAGCACCACCACTGCTACCACCAAAAGCACCACCACCCTCACCAGCACCACCAATACCACCACCACAACACTATCACCACCATCACAACCATTATCATAAAGACCATCTCCATGACCAAATACCGTTCCCATGCAGTAAATTTCAATCTATTCTTAAACACATGGAGAGCAGAAAGAGCACGTATAATACCTAACGTCAGGGACACACCCCCTAACCCCGAAAGGTAAAAAGCGCAAGACAAGAAAAGGGTTGTCTTTCAATCAATCACAAGACAGAATTTCATCACAAACAGACGAAGGTAAGATCAACAGCCTAAGGCGAGGTTCATTTTAAATACCACAGAACTATTGATTTTCTCAAGTTAATACAGCGCCGAGAATGAGAAAATAATGACTTTCGATTTTGAAATATGCCGTCAAACGAGAAGACTTCTTGATATTGAAATCACTCCTTTACATCGTAACGAAAGGTTTTTAGAATTGTTCAATAAAGATGCGGCAGTCTGGAACCACTTTATTGACAGTTGCAGGTTACTAATAACACATTTTAAATCACTGTTACCGAAATATGCGTTGCATGCTTATCCGACATGGGTTTTCTTACAGTTTTGATAATGTCAAGAGAATTCAGATACGTGCTAGGTTTCATACACGGTATGGAAATCACGTAGCTAAAGCCAATGTTGCAGTTAAGGCGATCAAAACTTGATTCGTTTAATAAATTTAGAGGTATCTAATCATTTTTTGTTTCAAATGTGTCTTTACGCCTCATCGACAAAATCTAGACGCTCAGGGGGTGAGCTTCCGACTCTACTTGTGAGGGTCAACCCAGGCTATGAGGGATACATCATTGCAGCAGAAAATTTCTCCCCCACTCGGGACTCGAATTCTCTTGCTTGCGAGAGTGAAACACCTAACCGCTCCACCACAGACACCTGTAGTTGGACAAGTGACTCGGTTGGAAAAATATATAGGGATACTTTCTCGGCTCCTCGGCTGCTAGTTAATTCAAAATTAAAAAATCGATGGTTGATTTTGTGAAACGTGAAACGTCATGCATGTATAGTTGGTACATTGGCATTTGATGGATGGCAATCTACCCTTTCTCTCCTCTTTCGAGAAATACTAACCCATATATTTCGGTAGTCATCGCCCTATTGAAAATGCTATTATTGAGTAAATTTGAGACCACATTTAATTTAAAGCACAAAACTAAAAAAGATTTCGGCCAAAGCAAAAATTGAAGCACGAAACAACGAGTTAAACTCTAATGCTACAAAAATCTCATCTTGATTGATATAAATATATACGAATTTTATGCGATAAAAAAGTCGTACACAAAAACTACTGTGCTGTCAACCAAAAAAAAAAAAAAAGAAAAAAAAAGAAAAGAAAAGAAAAATTAAAATAAAAGAAAATTAAAACCTTTAAACTAAAAAAAAAGCTCAGTATATAAGCTTTTCTAGAGACACTACGCAAGCATACACATCTTGTAATCTAATACTCCAAAGTATTATTATTTGGCGGGAGTAAAGTGTGTCCTACAAAACAGAGAACAGCTAGCCTCAGCCATCATTATGCCTGGAACGATCAAATAACATTAATTGAGACGTATTGTTCTCGTCTACTTGATTGCAAAAAGATGTGATTTTCCTTGCACTTGTCTCTTGCTATTTCCCAACACATTGTTTGCCGGCTGATACTTAGTCGCTCAATTCTCTGTATCTCTGGCGAGCTGAGTCACTTGACCTTCTCAATTTCCAAGTCTCTCTTTCACTGTCAGTCATTTCCCTCTCTTTATCAGCGTTTCTTTTCTTTCAACTGTTACATAGGCCGTTCTTTTCCTTTCTACTGCTCCACCAGCCTTTCTGTCCGACAGTAATGTCGTTCAGCTTTTCCCCATCCCTCCAATTTCCATCCTATCCCGTTCTCTCTTTTCCCCCAGCTTCTAATTCTCTGTCCGTCTCTCCAGCTTCCTCCAGTTTCTCAATTAACCATTTCTCC